GAAACAACGGAAAACCACCGATCAGAGCAGCCGGTCGCTGGACGTTTCCTGCAGATATCAGCTCAAATCCACCAAACGGAGAGCTAGTGTTCAAAAACAGCCACCGTCGGGGCTGAAACTCCAGGACCTCCCGGACAGAGCGGCTGCAGAGCCAGAAGCAATGGTGGCTCTGAGCTAAACGCAGCCCGTAATTGGGTGATAATGCGTTGCCGTAGCATGTACTGTACGCTACTTGGAGGTCTTTGCGATGCACGTGCTGACGTCCCAAGCAATGGCCGAGAGGTGGAACACACGAATCGCATTTACCATATGACATTCGACTCTTCATCGTCGCCAAAGATTCAGGAAAACTTTGGGGAGGAGGTGCTTTGCGTAAGCTTCGACTAACGTGCGTTGATTTTTTGTGTAAATTATGCAAAATGAAGTCCATTTACTCACATTTCAACGTTCTCTACTCATTGGCACCTACTGCAGGATCTGATTTGATCTTAAATTTGAAAAGAATCACGCACTGGGAAGTGAATTCAATCACAGTGTGTATAATGCCCATGATTCACCGACTCAGGCGTACAGTGTTCCAATGATAGTACGGAAATGGCGGGAAAAGGTTCGCTCTATAATTACGTTTTTAAAGCGTAATTATTATTTCAATGTTTGATTCAATACAAATATGAAAAGTTAAAAAATGGAACATGGATAATTTCATAACACAAAGAAATATCCGACTCTATTTGGGTCACTAGTGTAATTGCACTTCCATTCTTCTAACGCATAACATTTTTGGAGATGACAGCTTTAACAATCTAATACAATATTGTATACACTGTTATATAATAAAACAGTTTAGTTTGTCCTAAACAAATAACACAGACAAATAAAATAAAAAAGTCTCCGCGGTGGCGAACCTTTGACACTAAGTAGATAGCTAAATCGAACTCTGTCTGGAGTATTGTATCAGCGGCATGCTCTAATCGGTTGTTTTTCTTGGTTTCTCCAAACAACATGATACCTGTCGATGGAGCATACATATACCGGAAGTGTATTTACACTTAGACCTGACGATGATACAATATTATGTAAACCTTGTATCCACACCATTAAAAGCCAGAGAAGAAATTATTCTTAGAAACGGACCACGGACCGCGAGCGATATTTCCTGCCTCATTCTTGCCCTTTCTTCTTCCCGAACACACACACGCACACGCGCGCACTCACACACTTAAATGCACTACACTACCACTTGTTGGGAGAGTCCATTAGGGAGATCTTAGAGTATCCCGAGTGTGGCTGAGCGCCGCCAGGGGAGATACCTGGAGAAAGAGAAACAGCCTTCACGCCGAAATGTATGGCGGTGCCGCATCTGGCGTTCTAGTGGAAGACGATCTTCCCCGCATCCTGGGATATAACATTCACTACACTAACGGGAGTAATGACTACAGAAGTTTTCGCACCTGAAACACCAACCAATCAAACAATCATTGAAAAATCAAATAATCAATCAAGCAAACAAAAGAAACGCAAAGTAGCATTACTTCATGCGCGCTCGTGCGCACCTCGGAGCATTTTTATCAGTTTGGATGAACGTGTTTCACGTTCCTTGTACCTCAAATTCAATGTCTTTTTTCCCTATTCCAGAGCCGGGGGCGTGATTAAATTTGAGAAAACTCCTAAGATGTCAACTTATCTGTTGGCGTTCGTGGTATACGATACGTCATCGTTCTCCAGCATCGGCACCGCTACATTCAAGACTTATGCTCGGTCCGAAGCCCTGAAACAGGAGCAAGGCGCACTCAGCCAGAACGATGGGCCTGCAATGATCACCATTTTGGAAGACTACACCAACATTGATTATTTCCAGAAGTCTGGAAGCAATCGCCTCAGCATGGGCATGAAAAAGATGGACCAAGCTGCTATCCCAGACTTCGCGTCTGGCGCCATGGAAAACTGGGGACTCGTCACATACCGCGAAAGCGCTTTGCTCTTCAGCAAGGTAAGCCACACGTTCAGCTGCGTATACCACTTCGGCAAATGATTCTTAAAATTATTGCTGAGTCACTGGAAATCTGACATGTTCTTAAAATTATTTGCATCTATTGTTTCACTGACAGAATAATGTTTTTGTAGGATGAGAACAAAAACAGTTATTAATGTCAATGAACCGATAGAGAGAAAATTATAGGCACGGTGGAAGTTTGAAAACTAAGGTGATAGCGGAGTCTGTCATTCGTGTTATAGGTCGTACGCTCTTCAATATATTTCGTAACATTACCTTCTTATAAGAAAAAAATATATAAATTATATATACGTTTGCTTTGGTTAGAAGCACTAATACGCCATATTTGCTTCCAATGTTCATGGTCGTCGGCCGGTAATAGTCATTTATGAAGTATGTATCGAAAGGCATTTTATTATAATAGGAGATTGAAGGATTATCAAACGAATCGGTTAGGCCGAGTCAACATTAGGCCTAGTAAAAATTAATTGAAGTAAAAATGCCATTAGACCATATGAAAACTCCAGTGCCACTATAATTTTAGTTCAAATTTCACAATTCTTCCTGCGAAATATGATATATTGATGTTGGTAGTACTTATAATCACGTCATAGATGAACTCTAGTTTTATTTACATTACAAAATCGATTGCTGTAGAAAACAGCGGATCATAGAAAACAACAATAATAATAATAATAATAATAATAATAATTATTATTATTATTATTATTATTATAAGTAATAGTAGTAGTAGTAGTAGTGATAATAGTAGTAGTATTAAAATTCATGTATTTAATAACTTCCGATAACTAGCTTGGATACAATCATAAACGCAAGGTGGCCTTCCAGAGTGTTTTATTCCTTTCTTGGATTGCTGTATGCCGAAGCAACAGAACATTGTAACCAAAAGTAAATCAACTGCAGGACGGGAGCGAAGCTGCCAAGAAGCGCGTCAGCCAGGTGATAGCTCACGAGCTGGCGCATCAGTGGTTTGGCAACTGGGTGACGACCAAGTGGTGGAACTCCATCTGGCTCAACGAAGGTTTTGCAGACCTATTCGAGAACGAGGTCATGCATTCGAGGTACGCCAACTGGAAAATGAAAGAACGAATGGTCATCGACGATCAGATGGTCGCCTTCGATGCTGATTCCGACCCTTCGGCTCCTGCCCTCACTCGCGTTGAGGCCGACGTGGTGACCCCGGGTGACATTTCCGGGCACTTCGGCACCATCACCTACAGCAAGGGTAAGAGCGGTTATTTTCCTTTCACGTTTTTGTTAGTTTTTTTTCGTGTTTTGGGCTTCAATGCGATCACCGACATATTTAACTGGCTGAGAGCAAAAATATTAATGAACAAATCCCGGGAGGAGCATCCACTGAAGTCACTGAAGTGCCTCTTATCGGGAGGTACTAGGTTCGAATCCTGACGATAACCAGTATTTTCGACACTAGCTAGATAGCGGAGTCGAGTTCTGTCGCTGTCTGGAGGAGAATTCAAGCGTTCGGCTGCTCTGATCGGTACTTTTCCGAGGTTTCTCTGATCAATCCCAGGCAAATACTCGTGCAAATCCTAGAAAATCCTAGCAAATGCAAAAGGGGCCGCGCGCAATCTTTCCTGCCCATTCCTTGTCCATTCTACGCCTTCCGCTTATACTCAGAGCTTATCCCGGCTGGGGCGCTGCCCTGTTGGGGGGAGGTACCTGGTTGGAGAAAGCCCAGCTGGCAGACGGTATGTCGGCGCCGGATGTCACCATCGAGCGGGAGAAGATCACCTCCACTTCCAGAGCAAAACATGCGCCGCACTTACGAGACTAATGAACTTAGCAGATGCTGAATGGATCGATGAAAATTAACTCAGATAATAAAATTAAAACATTAATTCTGAAAATTCATTTGATTTCTATAAGTGAAATCTATATCAAGCCACCACCGCTGGTTCCATGGGAAATGTGTCGTTTTTTTTGTAGGAGGATGGGGTTAAATGAGAAAAATAATAGTTTATTTTCTGTTCAGAAAATTGACTATTATTTCTAGACCTCGGTTGGTTAAGGAAAGTGAATATTTTATTCTCATGGATGTATTTAAAGGCTTTAATTTGGGCTCATCACTTTCAAATTACGAAAAAAGGAACACTTTGAATAATTTTTTTATCTTTTTTTGACGCAGTAAATTACATTTCAAACATTATTGGTACATTTTTAAACGCATGTTTAATATTCTTATATCCATCTTCTAATGGTTCAAAATAAACGTTTCAATCATTTTCAGTTTCAATATTTCGAATGGTTATCTGCTAATTCCGAACCTCCATTTTCTTGTGAAGACTAAATATGCCATTTGTGTATACATGACACATTTTGTATCCAATATGCGTAGACATGAACAACTGTAAACAATTCTTATATATTAGAGAATTGTTATACAGAAGAGAAAAAATATTTCTTTCTTATTTCTACGCCAAAAATAATTAAAATTATACATGAATGTAAAGAATAAACTGGCGTGGGGAAGAGATATGTGTACTGTAAAGATGCTAAGTAAGGGAGCATTTTTTCGAAGGATCAAAGAAGCGTAAAAATACGATTGACTTTTTCAATGAAATTGTGATTTTCTTTCGCAATAATAAAATTTGTTTTCTACTTTATGTGAATGATAGTTGCTGTTACTTTTCTTAACTAAAAATAGTAATATAATGAAGTCATTAATATAATAACGTTCTACAGCACCTATTTAATTGCGCTTCACAAATATTGTCCAATTCAAGTTTTAATAAGAAATTAAAAACTGCCAGAATACTCAACTATTCGTATTTAGGCAGTAATATTTTGAATAAACAAGAGTATGAGAAACATGATTCACAAAATTGGGAAAAAGTGTGATTTGGTAATGTAAATGCATGTTGATGTAAATGTGTACAAAATTTGTGTTTCTCGGTACTAAAAAGAAATCATTCAAAGTTTGATAATAAATAAATGTTTATATTGTAAACTTCGAAATTTCTTTCAGGCGGATCCATCCTCAGACAAATCAAAAATGTTTTGGGCGAGGCTGAATTCCAGACGGCAATCCGACAATATCTGACCGACATGTAAGTTTTTTTATTTCTTTTACTTTTACAAAAAATGAATAGTTATTTTAAATAACTTTATTTGTGTTTATAGAAAGACACTTAATATTATTAGTCAACAACAAAGAATTGTGTTCACATGAACATCTTAGTTTACACAAACAAAAATAAATCGCACTCCGATGATTTTGAAAAACGTTTTCGGTAATGATAAATCATTAATTTTAGAGATCAATTGTGAGAAGTAATACATATTACCTATTCGTTTACTTTACTACTGATAAGAAATGGAAAACAGTTTCTTAAAAAAGATGAATCATCAGAGCGGAAACAAAAATGTCAGGCCATCAAAGACCATGGGTTCGAATCGTGTTAAAGTCTCACTACTGCGACAGTTACCATAATTTAAAACATTACCATAATTTTTCATTTCTCAGTGGAGACAGGTACGGGTTCTTATGGAGACAAGTCATCTGAAAACGTCATGGTTATACATCTAGAAGGCGAAAAACAAATGAAAGGTCACCCACAATTTTTGTTTTTTTCCCAATATTTTTTATTCTTGACGTAAAATCCAGTTTTTTCATGGGCTCTCCAACATCGTGAACCAATGAGATTACGCGCAAACTGGTGGAAAGATGTGTAAATTGGTACACTGATCCTTGGATAGATTTGAAATTTTGGTATCGCCACCAACAACTGATCAGTGTTTCAAACCTTTGATATTATCGCACTCTTAAGTACCAATCAAAATTGATTTGTATCAATATAGCATTAAAATATAATACAAATGTACTTTATACGTCACATTCGGATTATAAAATATTGTAAATAATTTACGAATTTCACTTGACACTTTCCATGAACAGTGTCTTATATTGTTCTGAGTTAAGATGGGCAAAATGGAAGAAGTTCCAAATTCTGGTAACAGAGTGTGCACTTAATTCCCATAAAACTACATCCTCTTGATACACATTAGTTTGAACAGAGCTGCTCTGATCAGTGCTTATAAGTATATTATTCAACTTCATAGAGAGGTTGACCCTGCGGTTGCAACGCTCTTGGTACACGCACGATGAACTGTGGGCCGCCATCTTTTATACACTCAAAACATTAGAGGTGCGTGATGGTGACCTGATAGTGTACATCTGTTGTACTGAATAGACGTGTCATTTGTATCAGATCTTATTTCTATATTGTTGTCTTTTCATTTATCTGCATTTAAATTATGTTTTTGGTTAGAATAATAATATTCACAATGTCTTCAGTATGTTCAGTATATAACTGTAAAAATAGAAGCCATGAAACCATAAATATATCGTTTTTAAAATTTGCAGCCTTATTTGTGATCTGTTTGTTTGCTTCGTATTGCAATAACATTCACTTTCAAGCGTTATGCAAACTACTATAACATTTCAGCAGCTTCCATTCTTATGACAATAACCGAAGCAGGAGGCAACGTCTTTTTACAGTTTCTCAATTTGTTCTCCATACATGTAGTAATTTTGTTTTGAAATGATTGGTTTCTGGTCGTGAAACAAAGAGCAAGAGAACTTACATTACCCGCGGCCGCACCTACCTGGCCTTAAAGAGTGCCAAAGGGAAAACTAGAATACTCTGCTTCTCTGGAGGACGATGCTTTGATTGCAAAAAACATGGCTCCAGTTTGTTGCAAAGATGGAGGCGCTTCAGCCACTCTATGTATCTGTAGTATATTCTAACTCGTTGATATTATTATATAATTATTATACCACATTAAATAAGTATAATGAATATCAAGGTATATAGAGATAAAAAAGTATGGAGATTAATGCCACTAACTCCATGTTGTTTCATGGAAATATACAGTACACGGCGCACTCTAATGTCAAATTAAGAACTAATTCGATGATCGAGATCTATCGCAAGTTTCGCAAAGAGTCTACAAGAGATTGAGTGATGACGCTAGAAGGGGCAGAGAGGAAAAAGGCAGGGCACACGCACATCACCCTCCGTAGGTGAGGGTGTCGAGACGCGATTTTTTCAGTTTTGCATAGAAGAATGAAATATTTGGAGCAGACGCAGTTACAAAATGTGTGGGAAAACAAATTAGATATAATTTTAAGTGCACATACTGATGAATAACTTTGAAATAATTATTTCCATCTCGCAGGCAGCATGCTTCGGCTGTACCAGATGACCTCTTTGAGAAGTTTAAGGATAACAACAAACCAGACATTACACTACTTGAAAATGAGGACAATTTGGAAGCAGTTCTACATAATTGGATGGATAAACCTGGTTATCCTGTTATCACGGTCGTAAAGAGTGGCAAAAATATAAAACTTACACAGGTAAAAGGACATAAAATAATAATAATAATAATAATAATAATAATAATAATAATAATAATAATAATAATAATAATAACCAAAAAATTGCGACAATCTTGGAGATTGAAAAATATCAGAAACAAATCATTGATTTATTTTAGAAAATATAACATTTCTTAATGTTCTTAAAATGGCATTTTTGTGTTGTAGTAGATGAAAGTCACGATTATCAAGTAAAATATTTTGCTTCTGCCACTGAAATATTTCCACATCATACAATTAATTCTATTTGTATTTCTGACAACTCAATTTTCTGGAAAAATATACCCCTTGCCGGTGGCATTTACTGGGTATAAAACAAATTTTAGGCTCTATGATTTTAGCTTTTTGTACCGCAAAATCTTGGTCATGGATCTTCCTTAAACAGTTAAGAACAGAAAATACATTTACCATTTTCAAAAGAGCAGATGTGTCTTATTGTAGGAGTAAACCTGTTCAAAAGTTTCCGACGTAGCTTACATACGAAAAAAAGGTTTAGTGGTACCTCGAATATTGTGAGGAGTTGATGTTTAATTTTTTACATATTTTCCTTCACTTTTTAATAACACTCATAGAAAAATAAAATATTAAAATAGTTTTAAAATTACAATTCGGTTAACTAAAATAATTTATAAGAGAATTTTGGATGTAAAATTGTATTTAAAAGTTTAAATAGAACAGTTCTTGGATCAACAATGAAAGTTGTTCAAAATCAAATGCAGTTGCCTTAGTTCTGGTGACAGGAATTTCACTTTAATTTTTTTAAAACTAATTTTGTGAAGAATAGAAAGATTCGTCTAACAATATGAGTGTTTTGTTTAGTCACGTTTCCTGTTTTCAACTGATGCGACGGCACAAGCTGTTAAGTACGACGTGTATCTGACCTGGAAGACCGACACAGATACTGGAAGCGCTCCAACGCAACCTTCCCGACCACAGGCTTGGCTTAGGAGTTCCGACCAGGACAAAGAAATAGAGCTTGGCGATAATTGGTCCTGGGTGATACTGAATCTTTACCAAGGAGGTAGGCCAACCACCTCCTTCGTGCTTCTTTATTAATTAATTATCATTTACTTGATTATTGTTTTTATTCACTTATTTGGGCTGAGTATACACCCTTCTCAGAGGATTCAATTATAGAGTAAATACATTGGCTGTGGCTACTTCGAGCTCAAAATTTGAAAAATAAGAATTAGAGGCTTTCCTCTTGCTTCAAACTTGCAAAACGGTGGTACTGGGCCTTCTGGGGTCGCAGTGTAGAATAAAGATGACTTATTTCTACTCCGTTGTTTTAGATATAAGAAAAAGTTGAAACATCTTATCGCTATAATGTATTTGCAATAATGTAATGTTCTGATTCTTTTTTCGACTTAAATTTTTTCAAAAATTTTCAGACAATAGAACATAGAGTGACCATCACTAAGGCAAGTGTGTGACCCTTAAAAACATTTTCGAAGTCGAAACTACTGGATCAAAGTTGGTGTATACAAATAATATTATAAATAAATTGAAAATTAGCCCTATTTAGATAAGTGATCTACTCAAAAAGAAGTAGGCTAATCGCATAGTAAGTTTTACTTTATAAATTTGGTATTGTAATGTAAGAATTTTATTACTCCAAAAATATCCTGTGCCAACAGCGGTTGCTTTATCACCCTTATAACATTGGCTATGAAACGTACTTTTCAAACATTCGCTCGGAACAATTTTTCGTCCGTTTCTAATGCCAACAGGTTTTCATCAATATTCAAGTATTAACTGTAATTTAGAACAATCAAATGTGTGTTATTTTAAGATGGCCTGAAATTGTTTTCGGAGAAGCGCGATTGATTATATAAATGTTTATCTCCTGATTTTCTAAATTAAAAAGGAACAAGCAGACGATGGATTGTTAGATACCTACCTATTCTCACGTAGTGAAAGGAAACTCTCTGCGGACGTTGCCACAAGAGGAACTTCCCTATATCCCACTAATACACGCTCTTTTTCAATAACTAATAAAGTGTGAGTACGCAAGATGCACTCTACAAAACAAGGTTTTCAGAAACTAGTGGCGCTAAAACAGCAATAATGACAACTTTCTTTGAAACATTTGTAGCCGTTAGAAAAAAAAATTAACCCTAATCAACGCGAAATTTGAGGGTTTTTTTCACAGAAACTTTTTTATTTTTCGAAAAATTTAATTAGAAGTCATTTGAAACACTTTAACTAACAAATGCAATTGTGTGTAGAAATCGCTAAAATGTTACGGCGTGAGAGGTATTAAAAAATACATTTGTGTATATTTGTAAATACAAAACAAAACAAAATTATACACCACAAAAAATTTCATATCATATTAAACGATGAAATCACCACCAAAATTACAAAAGTTTAAAGGATATATTTGGAGCCTTTCTGAGAAAATGGCGTTTAAACGTTTCTAAAACTGCGGAATTTTGAGCTCATTTTCACAGATAAACTTTTCAGTTTTTGAGAAACGTCATTTTACATTATTTAAAGCACATGTACTCATAAATATAATAATGTAAAAAAGCCGATACTGCGAAATATAATGAGGTGAGAGACAAGTCAAATAAATTACAATTATATTATTAAAAAAATATAAGAATAGAGGAATATAGTAATACAGAGTTGGTTTGTGAATGGTCTGACCCATGGGACCATTGTGAAACTAAGAATAAGTTTTGCGTGTAGCAGAGAAGCCAGTGATTTCGCGAAAGAGATTGGCACTAGGTCCTCAGTCGCGTGGTTGTGTTGGCAGGCTACTACCGCGTCGACTACTCCCCGGAGCTGTGGGAGGCCCTGAAAACGGCGCTCAGCGATCACGACCAGCTGTCGAAGGTGGCGGCGTTGGACAGGGCCGCCCTCATCAACAACGCGCTGAGCCTGGTGCGGGACGTCAACCCGCGCAACATGAACTACAACGATGTGTTCCACTTCCTGCTCTTCCTCAAGCACGACGAGGCCTTTGAGCCGTGGGCGGCGCTGCGCTATTCGCTCGGCCACGTGGTGCGCATGATGGGCAACACAACGGTCTACAGGGTGCGTATCGCGGCCTCCACCCGCCTCGCCGCGCTTTCTGTTTCCTGTGACTTTTCGTGGCATAAAAACAGCTCTGTATAAATTGTCATAGATATTTTTTTTCATAAAATCAGTCGTTTTTGCGTAACATCTACTTGATTTTAAAGCAATTTATAAAAAAAACATATTCTCATAAAGAGCTCCATATTTTGTGTTTAATGTTTAGAGGTAAAGCAAGGGATGCTAAAAAAGAATAGTGCAGAATCTAATTTGTTGCTCTTTCTGAATTTTCGAAACTTTCGTGTTGGGAATAATGGGAAAGGCAATTAGAATTAAGGCGAGGGCCAAAGCGAGTACGTCCGAGCGACTGCTGGCGTGTAGCAGTAAGGCGAATGGCGAGTTACCACGAACGGCGTATGAGTCTCGGCGCAGAAAAAAACTTTTGCTGTTTGAAAACATTTTTTCGCGTTCATCTAGGAGAAGAATATTAAGGAGAGGAGCCATAAAAAATAACGAAAAAATAGTGTGTAAGTTCGCACTTTTAAGCACAACAGATGTGGGTTTTTAAGAATGAAAGCAGTTTTCGTGCGTTTTTTTTCGGGAAGGAGGAACGCCGGCTGTCCCATTTTGAAGTCTTACTGCGTGTAAAATATCCTCAAGCTTAAAAAGCATTTAACTAAATTAAAAACACCGATTTCGTATCTTGAGTGATAACTACTTTCTCTGTTAAGTGGAAACTAGTGGTGCTACAGTATGGCACAGACTTTCCCGTATTAGTTTTCTATTTCCTCTAGTCTATGTTTGCTATTCGGACTTGCCACATACTCTTGCCAGCTGGCACCTATCGCCGCCCAAAGTACATTTTCTTTAAAAAGTTGTCTTAATTTTTCGATTTCCTAATAGTAGAACGGAAATATTGTTTTAAGAATTTTGAAGAACAGTGAAAGTTGTCGTAAATAACAATTTTCTTTGAAAAATTTGGAGCTGTTTCCAAAAAAGTTGCTTTTACCGCTAATTCGAAATTCGAGAACAAATATTATTCCATATATACGCACGTATACGACGGGAAAGTTATTTATATACAAATTTGGCCAGTAAGGGTATACATTGTTATTATTTTTTTGAAGAAACAGAAATTGATTTTTTATTTGAAGTATCTTTTGGGTAGTTTTACATGACTTATCAATCAAACATACTACCTTACTGCTCCCATTGTTTGAATTAATGTGCTTGGAACCCGATTTCTTTGTCCGCAGAATTTCGTCAGAAATGTCGTGGAAGATACTTACGGGAAGCTTACGCCCGACAATTTGCCAGCCAATAATAATGTTCAAATCACTCACCACGTCAACGTGATGACGGTCGCATGTGGCGGCAACTACGGGCCATGCTTGGACTGGGCTGAAACCAAACTGAAGAATTACCTCCAAGGAACGCCACCAGTCGAGTAAGAAATACTGCTTGTTCTTTATTGATTTTTAAATGCCAAGGAATATGTCGAACTGAGGAACTTGTCGGTTGATTGCTTGTCGCAGGGTCAACGTGAACTTGGAGAGCATTGCGTACTGCTACGGCCTGAAGAACTCTCCCAGTCTGTGGGACGCCCTGTGGCAGAAGTACCTGGACGCTCGCAAGGACATGACCCGGCGACAGCTCATAGCCAGTGCCCTGGGCTGCGTCAACGACGCCGCGAAACTCAGAACGTGAGGCTGAGTCATCAATGACTTCTCTTGTCTACTCTTCCCTTTCATAAACGGTTTTGCTTTGTTTGCTGTGCTCTTCTCTCTGTCCCCTTTTGTTCGCTCTAACTCCCTATTCATATCATCTTTCGATAATTTTCTCTCCACTCTCTTTCTTCTTTCTCCTCATTCTCGAACTCTTCTTCTCAATTCCAGCTCTTTTCCTCTCCTCTCCTGACCCTGCCCCTCTTCTCCCTTTCTTTCCCTACCTACCTCATTACTTAAACTTCATATGTTCTATCCCTCCGTTCTTCTTTTTTTCATTTTCCCTCATTTTCTCTATTCTCTTCCTACACTTTATTTACTTAATATTTATTTATAGGTCGTTTACTTCTTAATTTTCTTTTAATGAATTTAAGTTTTATACTTTTTATTTCTCTTTGACTCCTTTAAATTGTTTTTATTTCTATTTTTATTTAAACATTCGTTCATTTTGTTATCGTCACTTATTCTTTTCCTCGAAATATGTTTCTTATCCTTTCATGTGCATTTCCTCTATTTTTCTTGTAATTTTCTTCCCTTTAATATTATATTTTTTTCTTAATTTGATTTTCCGTTTAAGGGTTCATTTGTTGAATGATTTTTACCATCTACACTTTGCCAAATATCAGATTTCGATGACATAGAAAAATCAAGTGTTCAGTAAAGAGACAGAATTTCTATATATTAATTTTAATTAAGCGTGAATTTATTCATTTGAATTTGTAAGAATAACATATGGCAACGGGACTTAGCCTATCAGTTAGAAAACTTACACTAGTGTCGTATCAGAAAATATCTCTTGTGTTTTTGGCCTACTATTTTCTGTTTCAGGGAAAGCAATCTAGATTTACATCACAGATTTTTCACGAAAGCCACACTAGTGTGTTCGATCGGCGTTACCGCGCACTTTAAAACAAAAACACACATACGAGTTTTCAAAGATTTTGACATCTTTGATTTTTAATTAATATCTTTAACAGGACTTTTATTCATTCTATTTGTATTCGAGACCCAAAAAACCCTATCGAGATATTACATGAATTTTTAATAATTTTTTGGAGATGCCCAGTTCTAAACGTTCTGTGCTTTAATAAATATTATTGCAATGACAGATTTTTTTACGTTATGAATTCCGATATCGTCTTCTCCCCAAAGATCTGATCTGACTGAATCGCTTTACGTCAATGGCACCTGAGTTTTGGACTCAAACACTGTTCTTTTGCTGCAGGTACCTGGACAAATCGCTAGAGAGTGACGTGCCTCAACACGAGAAATACCTGGTGTTCTCCGCCGTGTACGCCAACCTAAACGGTGGTCCGGATGCAGCTCTCGAGTTCCTCGCCGAGAAAGGAGCAGACAATTTGGCTAAAGCGTAAGTCGCAACGAGCCCAATTTCTCACATTCCTCAATCCATGCAGCAGATGATTTCAAACTGTCGAACCTCCTCTTAACCCACTGCCAGCCAATGTACTGTTATACCACAACCAAGAGGATTATTTCACACCCTAATGATACCATTAATAATAAGTTTTGCACTATCATTCAATTCAAGAGAACTTTAGAAACAATATCTAAATTCAAATTGAATAATAATAAATATTACATAAATAAATATCGTAAGTTATAATGGAAAAAGAAGAATACCTGAATATGCCTAAAGATTATTAAAAATAATAAGTTTAATCACAAATGAATTAACGCTTTTAGTCATCAATGAAGAAAAGTAAATGGAAAAAAACAATGGAATGTTAAAACAGTTTGGAAAATGAAGAGGAGTTTCAGCACACTCCCTGCTGTTGAAATATTGTTTAGAAATAAATTGTAAATAAATCAATTGTGTAGCAACATCAAGAAAGAAAAAATGATAGAAAAGTAGAAAGAAATATAAAAGGAAAGAAAGGCACATGCACAAAATATGGGTAATTTTCATGCTATTCGTAAATGATTTTGTCGAGAAATACGCATGGTATATTTTCTTGGCACTTTCAACTTCAAAATCTTCGATTGATTTTGATAATACTCATATGTTACACAAAATATTATTCCTGGATTGTCTGGATGTTTTGCCAGAACTATAATCGTCATTATTGTTATGTTTCACGTGAAACATTTTACCGTATCTGTAAAATGAGTGAATTGTGAATCTTCTTTAATTTTTGTGTTATAAAGAAAAACAATCAACGTAGAGTTTACAATTCGAAGTAAAGAAATGAATATACGTCAAATAGTACACAAGGTATTTTTAATTGATATCGGAGAAGAAGAGGCCAATGTGCTCGAAAAGTCAAACGCGCGTAATTTTAACTAATTACCAACAGGAAATCGGGATTACGATGGTAAATTCCGCTTGCACTAAGCGTTGAAACTGAAATCTTAGTTCAACAATTTTCATGGTTAAAATATTTCCGTACTCCATAGAGAGCTGCTCAAATCTGAGTTCGCATATTGCACATTTAGAACCAGTGAGGGAGTAATCCTCCAGATTACGGTTTATGCCTGACTTTAAGTAGTACCAACCGATTGATTGGTTGATGTTCTCTAAGTTAAGGTAAGCCTTAACACGTATTTTAATGATTTATTTATACCCCGGTTAAATGCAAGTATATTTTCTAGGAAAATTCGTGGTTAAAATATACGATTCAAATATTATTTATAAGAACGTAGAAATTACAAAAAAAACGTACTTGCTGAAAAACTGCGTAGATTCTCTGATGAACAATGAAGAGGGAAAATAAATAAAAGAAAAATACAACATCCGGTCGCGAAAGCAACTGCACCAGGACTGGACGTGATAGCTTCCAGTGCCGCTAGTGGAGTGCCTTAGACTCTCTGCCGGGGCGCGGACCCTACTGTTCTTTCCAAGGCCACGAGTTCAAATCCGCGAGGATTTTTCCGCGCGGAAACGATCTTTCATACACCTTCGTTCGGATTCTGTCCAATGATATAGACATATTTCAAAGCTTAAAAGAGGCCGTTTAAAATACAAATCGCCTGTTCCGTCGCCCGAGTAATTCTTTCTTTCTCTGCTAGATGGCGAAAGAAGCGTAGCAAAATTTACGTGGTCTGGCGAGAGAGCAGACATGATGCCCTAAGTATGCCGACGTAACATAAGGCATCATTGAATGGAATTGATTTGACAACTCCATTATCTATCGGCAGTAATCACGGACATACGTAGTAGCAGTAGTACGTACGCGAAGAAGGTAAACATCGGAACCAGGCAACAGCGCCATCGAGAATAACACACAGAAAGTTCCAATTTGCCCGGTGCCGACGCTTTACGTTCGCGAAATAATGACCGTATTATCTTTCGCGCTCCTTAAGCCATGCTTGGATGTTAAACTCTGAACTTCCTCTCATGCTATGCACCCTCTTTCCTTCGCAGATATGGCGAGAACAGAATGCAGTCTCTTCTAAATGGACTGGCAGGCTACGTGAACACTCCCGAAGGGAAGCAAAAGGTGAGTTGAAACGAAGTTTTTTTTTTCATCCTCCTTAGCTTTGACTCTATTCCCATTATAACGTTCTCAAATTTTTGAAGTAAGAAATTTCTACTTGTACGTTGAATTATATTTATCCACTTTAATTATGTCATCGCGCTTACTGCACATTCGGGACGCCCGGGTTCAATCCCCGTGCTCCCCATCCATCCTGACCAGGGTTCTCTTGGTTTCCCTCCTCACAGAAAAAAAAGGGTTGGTCTTGAAAACTACGTAATAGTAATTGCAGACAGATTAGCGTTCATTTTATTAATTTCAAGATATTAAAATTGAATGTTATAGTTTAAACGAGTTAATAAGAGCAATGATAATACATCTATGGTCACCAAAGCAAAATTTGATTTCAATGCTTTCTTTTTTCTTTTTTTTAAATTTCCAATCACATGCCAATTTTGTATGTCTTTGTTCCCTGGCAATAAAAAAAAACATCATTTGCAACTCCCCTTTTATGAACATCAGTAGATTTATTCAAAAACAATATATATGAGAGGCTGGTAATAGATGAAAATCGAAATTCAAAAATAAGCAATACATTGTTTCCGTGCACCTTCCAAGCGACTAGCGCTAACATGTGCTTTGGTTGTGGTGTTGCAGTTGCAGAATGCTATCGGGTGCAGCAGCAGCCAGTGCGAGTCCCCGTACAAGAGCTGCTTGGACACAGTGGACACCAACGTGAAATGGCGCGAGGCGAATGGAGAGAAGATAACTGAGGGGTTGACCCGCGCCAGCGCGTCCGCCGCATCCCTCGCCACCGGCCTGGTTCTTCTGTGCGCCGCCGTGCTGCGCTACTTCCGTTAGTCCCTCGTCTTCAGCGCAGTGGGCCGAAGCAACGGACAGAGCGCGCCTAAGGCGATATCCTAGCACGCATTCACCCAACAACAGCGCAAACAACGGAATAAAAAACTCACATCTCAGTAAAAAACAAAACCGCATTTAATAAATCGACTTCTTAATTCATAAACAGTTATCAAAAGATTCGGTTTTATTTTTCGATTTTGTAAATGAGGGGCGATCGTTTTCTTCATGAGAAATTTCCAAAGACAACTTATCTAACATTTTATTCCAAGCGTAAATTTCTTGCAAAACCCTCATATTGTTTCTCAGAAATTCTGTGCATATGGTGGTGATAAAAAAGACGACTGGAAAATACGCGTCTTCCACTCAATCTTGGAGGCAACGCCCACGTGGTATAGTACGTGTCTGAAGGGCGTGTGGATTCAGCAGACAGGACTGCACTGCACTTCGTCTTAATGCGAGATATATTTATACTTCTTTTTAATTTTCATGCCAGTCTTTGTACATAAGTGTGAATAGTTTTCAAAATTTCATTCAGATATAATTAAGGCCAAGATGTGTTTGTTTTTGTTTTTTTAATTTTTTTGTATTTGAAAGTACACTTGTGTAATCATTGATAAGAATGAGAAATAAAAAATGAAAATGATTTATTAAAAATGAAAATGATTTTAGTTTTCACTATATTTATAAACATTTCTTCGTGCATTTGCTCTGTGTGGCACAAAATGCGAATCGTTTCGACATTCCAATCTATAATTTCAGTGTGTAGCGCAAGACGAAAGAAACAGTGTCACCAAACATTTCGGATTAGGAAAAAGTCGATCGCAACTTCTCACAACTAATTTAAAAAAAAGTCACTCATGGGCTGCAATAGTGGCACAACTCAAAAAATACGATTAATGCACTCTCCTGAAACGCAGGCAGCTCTCCAGTTAATTCATGCGAGCCAAGTTGCACATCGGATGGGAAGATATGAAAAATGCTAGTCTGCTCTGATCGGTCGGTTTCGCCGTTTATTTCGATACATTCCAGGTGAATAAGGGAATTGTATCTTTGAAAAAATTACGGCAACGTAGTATCGACCTATTTGTGCAGGAGTATACATTGAACTCAGGCGAGCCTGCTCTTGTTGGTCAAGTTCATTTACATTCTTTAAATCTTCCTTGCTTTAGGACCGGAAAAAAATATATCGACTTAATGAAAACGACAACACATTACTATTATGGGGTTCAAATTACGAAAAAATACTGCGGTCGTTTCTCTCTGTCTTTTCTTGCTTTAATTTGTGAGCATGTGTAATTTACTTACAGAAGGAATGGACGTTCGCGAAGATTTCCGGAAATGCCAAATATATAGTGTAGAATTAATCACAATTTCTAATGTCTTTTCCTTCAACTTATTTTGAATAAACTTTTATTACACACTATTTAACGAACATTATCTCCTTCCGATTGAAACATTTCCATGGGTATTTAAATTTTCTGGAAAAATGTCTCGATTTTTTTTAAACAGTATTTTCCGTATCTCGTCGCCTCTGATCAGGAGCTCCTTTAATCATTCCCGCGTCCATCACTAACCAGAGTCCCCCGTTCCGACACAGCCACTACAATCCTCTGGTTATTTCCCAATCCGTATCTTCTTTTGTGGAATCGTGATGTCTGAGGAAAACGTAAGTATCAGCTGCTTCCCCCCGAGTGGACGAGCCCTGTCGTGTGGGCGGAGGAGGAGGGAATGGGTGCAGGAGGGGAGGGGAGGGGAGGGGAGGGGATGGGAGGGGAAAGAGGAGGTGATGTACGCGCGACCATGTGGCGGGGAGGGGACGACTCGAGGGACCTTTCTGATAACGAGATAGGCCGAGTATTAAAGGGCCCCTCAGACCGATGTTTCCCATTCGCTGAACTCAACAGGTGAGTCCTCATCTCAGGCTGCTGCAGCCCGCTCACTAAAGCGTCTTTCAATCGCTGATTCTGCTCCTCTAGCTGCGAATGTGTTGGCTCATTGCTTTTGTTAGTGAAAAGCTGCAGAAAGAATAAAAGGAATTAATCGCGTTCGAATTACACTCGTGTGTGGAACAGTGCGCATCAGGATGCTGTCATCAAGAGATCCGACTGAGTAGTGGCAGCTGTGAAGTTACAAGGGGAAGAGAGTTCTTCTGAATTGTGTCACCTTTTTTTACCTGATTTTAGTTGTTGTAATTTTACTTCATGTTTGTGTACAGAAGAGTCGTAATTAAGTTATAATACAGGCGTTGAATCCACATTTTAGCACCAATAGATTAATTTCTCTCCCTAATTTTGATATGCATTGTATTGAATTGTGTTGCATTGTCGTGCGATAGTTGGTATCCGCCAGAATATTTTATCATTTGTAAAAAAGGGATTGAATGAGGGAATCTTGAAATTACAATCAGCGGTTCTTGTTCAAACAAGTAGGCATCATAGTATAATGTGAAATGTGTGTTTAATGCGGTATTTAATGTATTGACGCATATTTGGCGAGTATTATAGTTGCGAAAAGAGAATTGTAATAATTTTAAATGTAGTGCAGAATTTTCGGCTTTTGATTAACCACTTAATGCTACAGTTAATAACGTTAGTGCTGAAATTATATTATACTTTCCGTGGTGAAATCAAGAGGTGAAGAGTTACCATGATTAAATAAAGAAGTGAGAGAAACATTATGAAATACTTGGTATATCTTAACATTTTAAACAAAGTCAGTAAGGTATTAAATAACACTTAAACTTTTTAAAGTAATTTTATTTTAAGACTTCTGACGGCTAAAATTAGAATGTGCAATAAATACGTTGCGTCTTAATCTCTAATACTATCCATAACTGATCTCATACAAATCCATAAGTGATAGTGCAGGAGAACAAAATTAGTAATCTAAAAAAGTAGCACAACAAAATCATAAAGTATTTTATAATTTATCATTGGCTATAATCCAAAAAATGCACTCGATGAAAAAGAACTAAGATCTAAATATAATGGCTGATTCAGGTGGATAAGATAAGTATTAGAACCGCTATCGCTAAAGTTTTACAATCACTGGAGTGTATAACGTATGAGTGACGTGAGATAAAAAAATTTCCACTTTTATATTACCGTATACGCTCCACAAATTTCTTACGAAATTACAACATTATATTTGACTTCCAAAGGTACATCATCACAACATTGCTGTCAACATTAATAATAATAATTCTGTATGTTCTCAAATCAATTATTTTTGCTCGCTCTTCTCTTTCGACATAATAACTTACATTTCCAAAAGAAGTTCGAAGGAATTTTATGCAACATGAATATCCATTATCATTCTCAATATTAAACTTCGAAACTAAATTACCACAAAATGTTCACTTCTGGTATTTGTGCGATTTTTTTTTCTACATCGTGTCTTCTGTTCCGTGTAAAATGCCAGAGCAAAGAAATCAAATATTTGTTCTCACAGTTCCTGTGTGCTTCACCAGCTAAATTTTTTTGTTTTGGATGTTTCGAACAGTAGGTAGGAGTATTTAAAAGAGAATAATAAGACTCTCTACCCTAGAGCGCACCTCGTACGCTTTAAAGAGCTTACACAAAAGATTATGGTGTATCTCATAGCTTCAACCATGAAATTTTACTAAGCAAACTACTTGTTTGGATACTTGAATTGAAAAGCATTATTTGGGATAAATATTTTTTAAAATTAAATTGAGACAACTCGATTATCAACTAATAAATTATAATTTCCTGTATGCTAACGAAATACATTGCGGAACAATGTCTTGTAGTTCAAGAAAAATGAAATTTTACATTTCCTTTTGCTCAGGAGGTCAGGAATGAAAAGAAACACAGTGGTTTAAACAACAGAATATTTATTACAAGCTTAAACCTAGTCTGTGGCCTGTGTGCCTTGTCAATAGTATTTTGTATTTATTATGAAGAAGCAACAATTATTTTAGTAATATGCCACAAAATCTGAATCTATGGCATTGTTGAAAAATCATTATTTTTAACGAAAATATTTCTAAAAATTTAATTAATGGTGGACATTTGAGGCTAAGATGGGTAAAACGTAGCTTGTGGTTGTCTTTCAAACCCACTCTAGAAATTAAAAGTGATATTATATACAGAACTGTTTATTACGAAACAGAATGAGGAAGTGCCAGTATATTACACCATCGA